TTTTATTTTTTAATATGTTCAGGCTATAGTGATATCAATTGCATATATTTGAAATTTTCTTTTTCTGTTATGTGTTTCATACTTCATTTATCAATTTTATTGTTATTTTTCAAAAAACATTCTTGGTTTTGCTAGTTTTTTCTGTTGTTTCTGTTCCATAGATTTTTCTAATCTTTTTTATTTCCTTTCTTTTGTTAAGGACAAAATCGCTCATTTTTGCAAATTTTTTAGCATGGAAACCTTGATCTATTATTTGAGATCTTTAGTCTCTCCTAACCCACATTTTAAATTATAGGTATCATTTTTAAACTTTGATGTAGCTCTATGTCACACATTTTGATGTGTCACATTTTCTTTATCATTCAATTCATGTTTTCTCCAAAGAGTTATGAAAAATCTTTATCCAGATTTTGAGGCCCTTGTTCTGAACATTCCCTCTCCTCAGATATTTTGCTGTATTCCTTGCTATTGCTTCAGGAGGAGTTCTTATATTTGCCTTCTGAAAATCATTGTGCCACTGTCCTCCTTGGGCCATATCCCTCCTCTGTACTAGCAATCAAGACTATTATAGTGGTACCTGTATACCATGCTTACGACAACACTATTCATATTAGCTGAATCTTGGAAGTGGCCTCTATGTCCATGAACAGATGGATGGATAAAGAAAATGCAGCCTTTATATACAACAGGGTACAACTCTGACATAAAGAAGGATAAACTTGAATCGTTTATAGGTAAATGCATGCACATTGAAACAATGCTATGTGAAATAAATCAGACACATGAGCTTATATCACAAATTATAAATAAAGAACAAAATAAAAGACAGATTATCAGAAATAGTGGCACAGATGTTTAGCAGAGGGAATAGAAGGGGGAAGGGAGGTAAGGGGAAGTGGGTGAAAAACAGAATTAAGATATGTATATGTACCAACTCCCATAAGGAATAGAATCATTATTTACTTCAAACATGTAGCAAAAACTAAAAATTTAAAAAGAGACCGCTGTGAAAGAATCAAAAATTCATCTCATGTGTTTGCTTTTACTCAAATATCAATGGCCAGCAATGAAGGCATAGTTCTTGAAATCCATTGCCTCATTTATTTTTTTACCAGTTTTAAAGTCACTTCTATTGGCAAAGAGAGAGCAGAAGGTTGAAAATACATAGGAAAAAGAAGTAAAAAGAATGGAGCCAAGTGTCAGTTGTAGAAAATTTGGCATGTGACTGATACTTCATTTTAAGAAAACACAAACAGTAATATGGTCTATTTTAATTGATGAAAATGCTAGATCATAATTCTGAATCAAATTCAAAATTAGGCATCTTTGAACACGATGAAAACAGAGAGTTGTTTGTGTTTGAGTGTCCAATGAATGCTAAGATGTCAGTTACTGAATTATCCAAGATCATTTATGTCACTTAAGAGACCTCTTACTGGGTTCTAAAATGAGTATTGTAGAAGATTATTTCAAGTTTCTGATCACTAATAATGTAGGTAAACATCAAAATGGGTAGCAGCGAACATCAACGTGCTAGTTACATTTTAATCTAATCATAGATTCTGTCACAGTTATTCAGTACAGTTTCTCCTTTTCTATGGTGGGGGAGGGGAACGGCGGGGGAGGAGGGATCCAGGAAAGGAGGAGAGCTATTTATTGCCTTCGGAAAATTAAGGTCATTTAAAATTGTGCACTTAGAAATCTTGTTATTTTGTTTCTTGACTTTGGTATCTTCTTTCTAAAATAAAACCTACTGAAAACATGGCTCTTAAAAATCAAGTGAATTGGAAATCTATAAAGTTGTTTGTACACCGCACTGAGTAAGCTGGGTGAGTGTTGTATTGGAAAGACAGGAACATCATGGTTTCAGATATTTGTATAGATCCTTCTGTGATCTGAATGCTCCTGATATGTGACTTCACTTCCCTGGGACTAAACTTTACATCTATAGATCGAGCGAATCGCTCAAATTCATTATTTAAAAATGTAGAAATAATTGAGTGCATGACACTATCAATTAACTACATTAGGATATCAGATTTTTTTTTTTTAGGAAGACTTCAGGTCCTTTGGTAAGTAACGTAGTCATTGTGCTCCATATTTTCATCACTTAAAGTAAGCATTATTAGAATACTTACTTTACCAGTTTTTTGAGAGAATTAGATGAGAAGTTAAATAGAAAACACAACAGTAACCTAACAGCACTAATGTGATGCCCTCTGCTGCTAGGAAAGAACGTGTGACTTTTTGTCCAACTAAATAAGGAAACAAAAACCCAGAGGCGGGGGTGGGAGGGACTTAGCTCAGGGGTGTAGCGCCTGCCTTCAAAGTACAAGGTCCCGAATTTGATCCCTGGTTTAAAAAACAAACAAACAAAAAACTTAGCAACAAAATTTGGGGACTGCAAAATTGTGGCCTCCTTCCTTTTCTAAAAGTCACTGTCAAAAAGATATAGATTTCAAATTTCTAAAGCAGAAAGCACAGTAACTTTGATCATTGAAAATCTACTTGTTCCCACATTTCTTATAGTTAGGATTTTGATGTTATCTTGCGAAAATGAATCAGTTACCCACAAATTTAGCAAAATACACTAAGCATTTATTAACACATACGAGGACTATAGCGCTCTCTTCTGGTTCTGCTGGCTGCCCCGAGGCCGTGCAATGCGCCTCTCTGCAGAAAATGAAGCAACCCTTAAGCAACATTTAAGAGCAAATCAACAAGTATAAATCAATACCTATAAAATGAGTGTCTGAGTGTCTAAGTGCTGGGGAATCCTTTGGAAAACTGTCTTCAAAGCAGTAATATAAACTAAAAGATTGGGAGTGGTGTACACAAGGAAAGAAAAACTACCAAAATTCAATCACAGAGCACTTAGGGCTAGATAAAAACACAAAAACAGAGTTTGTGCATGTTTAAATTTCCTCTCACTTTTTTGTTTTTTCAAGTTTTATTGTGCTCTGGTTTTGTTTTGAATTAATTTATAGCATGACTTTATCAATACCTTTTGTAACCAGCAACAAGAGCCTCAAAATAATAGAATAAGATGAGAAAACTGAATAAAATTAAACCACTTGAAAACCTTTTCAATTTTAGTTAAAAATTACTTAGTTTCTAAGACTACTTTGTGACTTTGTGTGTGTGTGTGTGTGTGTGTGTGCGTTTGTGTGTTTTTATTTTGAGACAGGATCTCACTATGTAGTTGAGACTGACCTGCAACTCACTATGTAGCTCAGGCTGGTCTCAAACTCACGGAGATCCTCCTGCCTCAGCCCCCTGAGTGCTGGGATAACAGGCTTGCGCCACCATGCCCGGCTTTAACAGTATTTTTTTTATAAAGCCTTAATCTTACTGTTGTTTTCATGCAATAACATATTTACTGAGAAATACGTAAGAAACGTCTTAACATATGCTTTCATAATGAGCACTTGAATTAGATACAATTTCAAATCAAATGGAATTTTTACTTTTTATGACCACCTATGATCTTTGAAAAAAAATAGAATAATCATACAATGAGTTGTACAAGGCAATTTAAACAAGAGAGTGGCATCCCTCATCAGTTTTTGTTTGTTATTTTTTGAAATGTTGTATGTTAGTTTGAGACATGTGTTTGACTTCAAGTTCTTCCAATCTTACCATTCTTGCAGAAATGTTGCAGTATGGTATGTCATTGTTGTCTTTTAAGCAAGTCTTCACATTGACTTCTGGGAATGCTTGAAACTCTAATCACAGGTGCAAGAGGATATATCATTTTGTGGCTTGTTAAAAATCAATTTTTGCACCTGTGTCCATGAATATATGGAACATAATCACTCCTGAGTCTCCCTACAGACTCAGACTAACTTCTCAATCCTTTCTGTGCACTGTGTTTAAAATAATAATTTGTTTTTGTATATACATTGCTAAATATGGTTGTTGATGCTAAATATATATATATATATGTAATATCATTTTGTGGCTTGTTAAAAATCAATTTTTGCACCTGTGTCCATGAATATATGGAACATAATCACTCCTGAGTCTCCCTACAGACTCAGACTAACTTCTCAATCCTTTCTGTGCACTGTGTTTAAAATAATAATTTGTTTTTGTATATACATTGCTAAATATGGTTGTTGATGCTAAATATATATATATATATGTATATACATGCTGATTAAGATCTTTCTACATTTCTGTGGAACAATAATTGTGTGAAAGGCATAAGTGCAGCAAAAGCTGATTGTGCATGGGTATTTTCTCTGTTAATGGAAGTCAAAGCTGCTTATGAAGTTTAAACATCATATTTTTCATATGGATATAAACAATTATATCATTCAACTGTGTGGCAGATCGCCCCAAAATTAGTCATTTACTTAATTAGACTCTGGTCATCCCTTTGTGCAAAGGTTATGCCTATAGTATGTTCACAATTGGTTACTGCCTTGTAGCCTGTATCTTGATATGAACAATGGTGGCTCTGAATCTGCAGCACTTTCTTCTCCTCTAAGGTCTTTCTCACACGCTACAAAGAATTCCAATTTTTGCACTAGAAATGCTGACATTCCCTGGATAATCAGAGCTCACAAAGGAAACTCTGCCTGCCAATAATATCATGTGGATTTTGCAATTGCTGCAAATGGATTTTGCATGTTAAATCTTACTGCTTAGTTACCTAGGAATACTACAGGTAGAGTCAGGAAATTACTGTGAATATTACAGTTACTTAGATGAGAGAAGAGGTATCTGCTATTATGTGTGTCAATATTAATGTTTCTTAGTACCGACTTCTTAAATATATAAATAGTAACATCAACAGGAGCATGCCCTCTACAAAATCACCTTCTGTAGCACAGAAACTTCATCTCTGTTAGCCTCTTGAGAGGCATCAGAGCCCTTCTTGCCCTGCCTTATGATTTCATTATTGATTACAACAGTGATTAAGACATGGTTCCTAGTCTTAAGACATGGTTCACAATTTTTCAATTAAAATGAAGAACTGTTTTTGTGTGTTGCAGGTACATTTCACGCAGTTGCCTTGTGGGACTTTGAGAGATGCTGCAGCCCGTGACATGTGGGAATTATCATGATCAACTACTCAGTTTGGATTTCACCCAGTGGCCAAGAGCCTTGCATACTAAATAGCAAGGGTTGGATTTTTAAAAAGAGTGAACCAGGTAAGTTTTGAAGGAGACATCTGATCATTTATCACTTGCTCTAAGGGCTTTAACATGTTGCCAGGGTGTACTGAATAATGTATGGCTTTTCCATTTGTTTTCTACGTTCACTGAGCAGATTGTTGAAGAACAAATCTCCCTTAACTTCAAGAGATTGACTATATAGTAATAATTGAGTCTCCTTTCTCTGGAGAGGAGGGAAGAGCTATTTTAAGATACACATAAAGCAGGCATGAGACTATTACAGATGCTAGTTTAATTCAATAGCCAAAAGCTACAAGTTATAGAGATTCCTTCTTTAAGTAATTACTCTGAACTGTAAAAGAATCATTGGTTATACCTGTTATTTGGATTTTTTTTTAAAGACAGGATCTCACTATGTAGTTCAGGCCGGCCTTGAACTTGCAGCAGTCCTCCTGCCTCAGCTTCCTAAGCACTAGGTTTACAGACTGTGTCACCACACCTGGTTATAGATAGTGGTACTTTTGAAGGTGCAGTAGGAAAAGTGTTGCCTCTAAGGATTTATATTTTACATACTATAGAATTATGAATATTTATTAATGGCATCTGGTCTTTAAATATTCTTCAAGCTTACAATAATTTAGAAAATTATACCATTATTATGTCTTTTTGAGAATGTAATTCTAAATTCTATTCACATGTTATTGAAAATAGTAATAAAATGACATACTACATTATTGTTGTTCCAAGAATATAAGATGTAACCTTCTTTGTGTGTGTGCGTGTGGTGGGGGTACTGGAAAAAATGTAGTATTCTTATTGAGATTTTTATCTAATTTTTCTATTGCATTCTGGAAACTCATGTCAGTTAATTTCTATAATTTTGTCAGTTCTTACTTTTTTTCTCCTTCACTCTATTCCATCCCTGAAATATAACTTACATGATCAACAATTACCTGGAGAAACCACAAGTCATTCTCATCCTCTGACTTTAAGACCATCCAAATTTTTGCAGACTCTTTTTAATTTAATGCATCAGAAAGATTTTCTTTAAATGAAAGTATAGAACAGAGAAAATTTAAGAAAAAAAATCTTAATTTTGATAACAATAGGTTTTCCTTGGTCAAATGGTTGAGCTCTTTAAATTTTGTTTTGTTTTGTTTACAAATATAGCTTTCTTTCTGAAAATGAAGTGAATGAAACTCAGTATATTACAGCCTAAAATAACTGTTCGGATGTACACAAGGACTTCCAAAGTGTTTGAAAACAATCCATTCGGTAATGCTTTAACAAACACCTCTTTCTAATACCTAATGTCTTATGTGTCTATAAGAACATCTTAAACCCAGATTTGAAATGTGTTGGAAATACTGTAGATTACCAAACTCATGGTACAAGTCTTTATTTGATGAACTGAACTAGTGGATAACTTTTAGTCCTTTTTAGTGACAAAGGGGGTCACTGACATTGAGAAGAGGTTTACTGGTGCACGAATAAAAGGGGAAGCAAAATGCAGGAGGCCTTGTTGGACACTGAACCTAGTTCCATGCTTCATAGCATTAGTGTCTAGCACATAAGGACAGCAAGAAGGCTTTGAGATAGGATCCCATCATTTTGACCTCATGCATTTTAAATTCTGTGCAAAATAAAGTTCACTATGATTACATTTATTTTAGTATTTTCAACAAAATTGGGTTGCGTGTTAAAACCTCAGAGTTCTAGATAAGGAGATTGAGAGGATGATCAAATTAAGTCTACGGTATTTTGAAGGTAAATAAATGTTCAGTAATACAATTAGTAATTACCTTGTCACGAAAGCAGAAATTATACCTATTTGTGGAAAACATATTTTAATTCTTTAGAATATTTTATCTTTCTGAACTGAGTAAGTTATCAATTTGGGGAGTGTATACAGTAAGCAACTTTGATCTCAATATTATGAAGAAACATAACTTCTATTCACAAATCCTTTAAAGTAAATCTTGTTGATTATGATGTACAGAGATAGTGAATTTTGCTGTCCTGTACAAAAATGTATAATTTAAAGGTGTCCTCTGAAATACAGATTTGGTAAAGAATTTACATGTTTTTAGCTACAGATTAATTATTTTCAAAGGAGGAGATAACTTAATCATTAAGGCTTTATAGTTTATCAATTTTACATTCATTCTTGTGCTCTGTGGTATGAATGCAGTGGCATCTATGGTGATGTATCCTATCTGTAAAGTAGAAAGAGTATCAAGACTTCCTGATACTGTTTTTAAAGTTTGTAAAAAAGATGTAAAAATTTGAATTGTTCCTAAGCTCAGAAGACATTTTTCTTTGTTATAGAAGTCTTTAAAGTAAAGGTTTGCCTAGCTCAGGATTATATAACTACATGCTCATATATAGAAGCAGCATTACACCATCAAGGCAGGTGAGTTTTTCCAGAGCACTCTGACGATAATTTGCCCCATGTAGAGGGATATGTGTTCTCTAAAATAGTTCATGAAAAATGTCTCAGTTGTACCTGTATATATGATATCTGTCTCTGAATCCCTGAAGAAAGTGATGATGCTCTTGCATGTCCTGATTTTGTACTGTGAGGCCTGCTGCGGGAAATTCTTCAGAATGTAGTGAAACAAATGATCCCCAAATGACTAATCTTAGTCAGTGACCATCTATTTACTTATCCCCAAATATTTTTCAGATGCCTACAACATGTAAAACTACAGGTGGTTAGAAACAAATTAGTGACTCCCTTTGCCTTCTTTCAAGAAGCTTTACTTATAAAAACAAAATAAACAAACAAATAAAAGGCCCCAGACAGGCAAAAGGGTAAATGGCTCATTCCAGGAAAAATAAACTAAAATCTGCAGCACAATGTGTCAAGCAGAATCCTCCAGATAATAAGAAGAAGGACTACTAAGGCTGGTAGTAGTGTTAGGAGGTTTTGAAAACTTGAGGATAGAATTTTAACAGATTAGAAATGTGCTTCAAGGTATTTGATGCTCAGGACGTAGTCTGATAGTTACCATGGTCCAAAAAATGAGCAGGAAGTTTGAAGATGCAAAACCTGACACCTGGGCACAGAGAGAGACCCAAGAAGAGGCTGAACACATAGTGGCTGGGATGGAGTGCTTCACATGCACAGGTGTGGTGAGATTTGAAATAATCCGTATTTCTCTTAAATGATGCTCGTAGAGGGTGTAGTGGATAAAGCGAAGGTATGTGTAGAGAGAATTGATAATGTAAGAGTGTGCAGTTTCTTTGGCACAGAAACATGTGGTTTCTAGCCTACTGCAACATCAATGCGTGAGAAAGTTCCTGTCCATCACGGACTCTTTATTCTCTGCAAAATGCTGACTGAATATCTGCTAATCAGTCCATCTCTGCATTTGCAACTTTTCCCTTTTAAAGTTGTAGTTTAGAAACACTTCACACAAAGGATGAAAGAATTTAACTTGTTTTTCATCACACCCATGTGCATGTACAGAAACATGCACATTCCCCATACTTTGTGTGTGCTTGAAATTAAACCTCAGATCCTCTTCTTGAAATTTATACTTCAATTAAGATGGGGGCAGCTGCTACCCTACTTTATTTCCCTTCTGAGACTTTTATCTCTCAGGCTTTATCCTTCCCTTCATTGTTTTATCATCACATCAATCACCATGTCTCATTCCTCTGGAACACAGCATGCATTGCAGGCACATTTTTATGGCTAGGAAGCAAGCCTACCCTAGTTGGCACTTACTGCTTACTTAAACCTAATTAAGTAATTCTGCTGAAAGCATCACATAGTTTTCCAACACAATGCACATTTGGTCAAACTAATAGGGAATGCATTACAGCTGTGGGAAAACTGGACATGGGAGAGAGACTAAGGAAGACACCAAACACAGAACTGTGGCCTTCAGCCCAGCAATTTTTGACACAATCCTCTAATGATCCAAGGCACATTAACACCTCTAGCAGAGGAAACTCCTGTTCAATTTCTTGACCGAATAAAGGAATATAAAAATCTGTGCCTTATAAAATTATAACTTCTATAATTTTAATGGTAGGAAGCATCTCTTGTTAGTGGGCATAGTTGGCACTTGGTTCATTTTGGTATTGTTAGATTAAGGGGATTTTGTCCTTTTGTGGTTATCCATATGGCCAGTGTTTAGTAACAGAGTGATCTCCACCAGGAATAGGAGCGTGGGGAAGATATACTAAAATACAGATATGAGGAAAATGAAAAACATTTTTAATTTCTAAATCTTAAAATGGAGTTTTTAAATTTTAAAACATTTTATTAGTATATGTTCGCAGTACATGTTTACATTTTTTGTGTGGAGTAGATAAGCGTACATAACACATCTTAATTCCTTTTTACATCCCCTTTTTCTCTCTTCCTTTTTTCCTCCCTCTATGTCGCCATCCCTTCCTATCTGAAAAAGGTTAATCTCCATACTTCCTACTGTCTTTTATTTTGCTCTTCATTTATAATTTGCGTTTGTTTTCTTTCTTTTTTTTTTTTTTTTGTGTGGTACTGGGAACGAACTCGGGACCTTATGCTTGCAAGACAAGGGGTGGCACAACTGAGCTAAATCCCCAGTCCTATAATTTGCATTTGTTATGTAAAAGAAATCATGTGATAATGAACTTTGTGTGTCTGACTCATTTCACTTAATATTATGTTTTCAAAGTGCATTTATTTCCCTACAGATGACTCAAGTTTATCTTTCTTTAAGGCACAGAAGTACTCCACTTTGTATAAACACCACATTTTCTTTGTCCATTCACCGATTGATGAACATATGAGTCACATTAAATATTTAGCTATTATGAATTGTGTTGCAATAATTATGGGTATACATGTGTCATTATAATATGATGTCTTTATATCTTTGAAGAATGTACCTAGAAGGGGAATCCCCGGGTCAGATGGAATTACTAGTTTTAGTCTTTTAAGGTGTCTGTACTAGTTTACATTCCCACAAACAATGTAGAAGAGTTCTTTTTGTCCCAGCAGCTTTACCAACATTTGTTACTATTTTATTTATTGATGATGG